AATTTCCTGATGGACGTAAGCGAACCAAGAGCACTAATATATCGCCCGCCCTCACGCCTTTTAAAATCACAGTATTTTTCCATTATTGAAAGAACAACCAGAAGCTGTGCAGCGTATCTAGTGTACTGCAAATGGTGGGAGGCCTACGCCAGGCACAACGATGCCTATTCGTGATCGGTGCCACCATATCCGCAGAGATGTGATCTGATAAACGAACAGTGACGGAGCTATGAGGCGTATGGACACTTTTATCAGCAATTCACACTGCTAGCACGTTACCTAATGTTCTTCGAAGTTAACACACTGGTAAAACTTGGTGATTTAAAACAAAATTGGTAATCTGAAACAAAGATTTTAACCGAAAGAGGAAAACGAAGGGCAGTGAAGGTGAAGAAGAGGCTTTCGCTACGTCTGCAAGTAACCATCTAGAAGGGAAAGCAAGGGCAGTGTTGTGTTCGCTGAACGTAGAATCATGAATCGCTAAAGACAGTTGAAACCAAGAGCGTTTTACTTCGCGGCACTCAAAATCAACGGTTACGAAGGGAGCGTCAGGGATAATCGGTCATTAATTTCCCACCTAAAAACGAGGTCATATGGTTTGATCAGCGCCGTTTTCAGCAGAATGTGTCACTGCACCTGCAGAAGCAAGGTACTGATGAGGGCCAAGGTTTTTTTTTTTTTTTTAATTCAGAGACATCCGCAAAAACTAACTGACACAGATCCTTTCAATTTTCCTGGAGATCGGCACTTTAAATGGAAATTATTTCACTTTCATGCTTGTCGTCACAACTACTAAAAAGAAGGCCAACGCTCTGGATCTTCTAAATCCTTCAAATACCTGTTCCAGAGGGGCATGCCGGAAACGATGTCTCGATAGTCAGGACAGATGATGCAGTGGAAAGAGTGGACTACAGGGGAATCAAAATCAATGGGCAAGGGCGGAGGGGGTCTAACTGGGCACTAGTTTGGCCAGAAAAAAGTGCAGACACAGTGTAGATCTCAGCACTTTTAAAGTTTTCCACATCCTATTTCATTTATCAAAGTTCGATTAATGAACAGAATAACAGGATCCAACTGCTTTTTTTTCCGCGAAAACGACGCTCGTATTGTGATTTTTCGCAAAATTCTCAGCCACAAAAAAAAAC